TCCATCACGCCACAGCAGGAAAATCACCCAATAAGCGCATTGTTCAGCCGAAGCCAACCATACCACGAATCGAGCATTTCTCCATTAACGCCGCAGCAGACAAACCGGTCGCCAACTCGCTACAATAGCAGCGTCCACAACCAGCAATGCCACCACTTTTGGAGCAAAGAGAAGTACAGTTTAGTACATTTAAAAGGACTCGCAGTCGGTCCGAAAACCAACCGCAAGACACTTCACATCTGGCATCTCCTCCACCGACTACACGGAAGGAAGAAAGCCAAGTTTGTTGTACGGACACTGATACAGGCATACTTCCAGGACTAACCCGGAAGTGCAATATGCGTTCAAAATTTCGATGACTCACTGAATCCTGCAATTCGCATTACGTATCGCAGTTCGCAGCGTTCTTCATCGATGTGCGAGCCTAGACATCCACTGCTGAAAGTTGCTATCTAGTTAAAAGCAGAGACTTTCGTCCCCACAGTATAATCAGTATTAAGTAAAGGGTTTAAAATAAAAAAGCTACTAGCTCAGACCGAAGTCCAAACGCTCGCCTTTTGATAGGGCTCGCCCAGCAGTAGCCGCCAGCAATAAAGCCAGCAGCCGCCGCCAAGTAAGACCCCCAACTATTGGGTTGAAACGGTTCACGTGGAAAGTTTTTAGGTGTGGTAATGATCCTTCCGCAGGTTCACCTACGGAAACCTTGTTACGACTTCACCTTCCTCTAAATGGCGAGGATTTAAAAAAGTTCCCATCAATCCACTCGCAATAAAGCAAACAGACTCACGGTCCCAATTTTTCACCGAGTCATTCAATCGGTAGGTGCGACGGGCGGTGTGTACAAAGGGCAGGGACGTAATCAATGCAAGCTGATGACTTGCGTTTACTAGGAATTCCTCGTTCAAGACTGAAAATTGCAACAGTCTATCCCTAGCACGATGCGCATTCACAAGATTACCCAGACCTATCGATCAAGGTTGTATACTCGTTGAACGCATCAGTGTAGCGCGCGTGCGGCCCAGAACATCTAAGAGCATCACAGACAGACCTGTTATTGCCTCCAACTTCCTTTGGTTTGATTACCCAAAAGTCCCTCTAAGAAGTCCACAAACCTACCAAAAATGGTAAGCGGAACTATTTAGCACGCGGAGGTCTCGTTCGTTAACGGAATTAACCAGACAAATCACTCCACCAACTAAGAACGGCCATGCACCACCACCCATAGAATCAAGAAAGAGCTCTCAATCTGTCAATCCTTACTATGTCTGGACCTGGTAAGTTTTCCCGTGTTGAGTCAAATTAAACGGCAGGCTCCACTCCTGGTGGTGCCCTTCCGTCAATTTCCTTTAAGTTTCAGCCTTGGGGAACATAATTTTCTCCCCGCGAAAACCAAGAATATTGTAATTTTTCAAACGCGGCTGGAAAAAGTTCCATTAAAGTAAAAGACATGCCCCATTCCGCGATCGGCATATTTTATGGTTTAAGAATAAGAAGGTATATCAAATCATCTTCGCAATCCCTCAACTCTCCTTCCTGATAATGAAACATCCTGGTAATGCTTCGCCTAAGCTCATCTTCAGCGATCCAGAATTTCACTCTGACGCTGAAATATGAATACCCCCAACTGTCCCTATTAATCATTACCCTGGTGTGCAAACCAACAAAATAGACCACCAAGGCCGTATCTTATTATTCCATGCTAATGTATTCAAATGAGCAAACGCCTGCTTTAACACTCTAATTTTTTCACAGTAAACGATGCAAGCCCACCAACCCACCAACTTAATGGCAGAAAGGCAGCCTCACAAAAAATGCCTCGAATATCCATAAGTACACACTCCCAGAGGGAGCGGACCGGACATCCAAAACAGAAATCCAACTACGAGCTTTTTAACTGCAACAACTTTAATATACGCTATTGGAGCTGGAATTACCGCGGCTGCTGGCACCAGACTTGCCCTCCAATTGATCCTCGTTAAGGGAGTTAAATTGTTCTCATTCCAATTGCCCGACTCGAAGAGCCACAGCAATGTTATTTTTTTTTTTTTGTGTCACCTACTCCCCTGTGTACAGATTGGTAATTTACGCGCCTGCTGCCCTCCTTGGATGTGGTAGCCGTTTCTAAAGCTCCCTCTCTCGAATCAAACTCTAATCTCCGTTACCCGTTAATGCTCATGGTAGGCCTCATATTCTACTCATCTAAAGCTGATAGGGCAGAAACTCAATCGATTTATCGCGCAAAAGCGCGATCCGCACAGTTATTATGACTCAACACCATACTCAGCCCGAAGACTGCATTGGTTTCAATCTAATAAATGCTACTCGCCTCGACCAGCAGTTGGGTATTGATGCATGTATTAGCTCTAGAAATTACTACGGGTATCCAAGTAGTAAGGTACTATCGAGTAGACTATAACTGATATAATGAGCCATCGCAGTTCACAGTACAAAATGTTTATACTTAGACATGCATGGCTTAATCTTTGAGACAAGCGTATGACTACTGGCAGGATCAACCAGGTTTATATCCTCCATACTAAAGAAGACGACAAGTCGCCCCCAGCACAAAACAACAACACAGAGGCCAGCCGCAAACAGCCCCGCAACCGCCGAAACAGTCGCTAGGCCACTCGCAGCTTTTCTCAAAGCCGCCATTAATAGCCGAGAATCTTTTTGCACAGAAAGACAAAAATATGATCCTCACTTCAACAGTTCCACCTAAAAATAGGTAGATCAAGAAGCGAATAATAGAGCACGACGCAGCATACTTTGGGTTGTAGTCCCCTCCGCACGCCGCATAACTAGCACCAGATCAAAAACGGTTCTACCCGAAATTGAAACTTTCCACCGGAAAAATCCAGCGCAAAACGCACCACAGAAGGTATCGCATAATGACACACAATCCGAAAACTGCACGAAACACTATACAACCAACCGCAGCACACCTTCGCACCGGCACCGACAGAGCGTTGATGTAGCACCTCGCAACGTCAGCAAACGCTTCCTCGCATCCAAGCACACACAGTCAGGTCACTATCCCGAAAGCACACACTCGTCAGCAATTCCACATCGCTTCAGCGCAAAATACCCAGAGCAACGCATAAAATGCGTCAAATAAAGCTATATTCTTATGCAGAGCATACGAGTACAACCTCAATTTCTGCACAGCACGAAATAACCGCTCTAAGTTTCCCCAA